ATAACTACTGAATTATGTTTTTTGTAACTGTTATGGACCACATTCATTAAAACCCCCTTTACTTTGTTATTATTCATTGGGCTCCAGCTCACTGTATTGTTTATGTATTTAGGTGATCAGGCGTGTGACTAGTCCTAGAGCTGCTGCCTGGATTCTTTGTTTGTCAGTCAACCTATGTGCCTCCCGTGGAGGTTCCGAATATGTCTAGTGGCTATGTCTAAGTGTATAAAGTTTAAGTTTTGTTTTCTTGTTTGGTTAAACAAGTTTTCGTTTATTTTGTAAATAAGGCTCTGTCCCTTTTGTCTAGTCTATATGTATATGATGACGTAAGGATGATGTGTAGATATGTATATAAAAGTTTAAAATTTTTCTGTCTCATTTAAGTTTGCACAGCTCAATGGATGTTGTATATTTGTTATTTGCTTTCGCCAGCCCCTATTGTTAAATTAATCTGTCTCAGAGGCCTTCGGTAATCTCAGGATTACTGGCCGGTTACGATGCTAAGGGGCGGGTTTGGGTCGGGATAGGATGACCAACTCTTTCGTGATCACCTAGCCAAAACAACAGCATTTTAAACCCAAAATTAGCGCCACCACACATAACAAGAACATCATAAATAAAATATTGAACGAGCTAAAAAATACCACAATAAATCACAAATAGTTACCTGAAAGTTGTTTGGATCGGATAGTTTCAAACCTTGCGAACTAGATATCACCTCACCAACGTCCCATCTGAGGAATCTAGGAAACCTGTGACCATATTTGGCTTTCACAGTGGTCGTGTGTTCACACAACCAAAACTGCACCACAAGCCACCACAAAACAAAAATCCATCTAACAACCACCCAAAGTCTTACCAAAAAACATAAATTTAGGTTACCAAAAAAAACCAACTACCAAAATACAAATAGTACACTTACCGTTAAAGCAACTACGCATCCGATAACTTTCTTCGGTGTCTGATGGAAGTCCCTCACCGAACACATCAGCATGTTACGTACAGCGGCACTCAAATCATATAATTTCATGGTGTCAAAGTTGTCCACGTACCATATCAACGTCCAACTAATGGTCTCACCGAAAGTTGCAAAAAAAGCTTTCCACACACATACAAACAAAGGAATTTGGCCGTATCCTCGTGATCGCGCGGCGTGTCCCCCACCGATGCCTCCGTCAGCAAATCCCTCACAAGTTTTGCTGTAATCCTATTTTTTACGGGGCACCTACGCTGGACAAAATCAAACGCACGTCTCGGTGGCGTCAAATCAAGGAATGCATTGCCACATTGCAACCCAAACAACAGCTTCACATCCTCATCCGTCAAGTCAACTCCACGTCCACCAACAACAAACTTCCATTCCCGTACACTGTATGACCTTATGATACGCACAATCAGATCGTCGCCCTTTCGGAACTCCGTGTGATCAAGCTGATTGATTAATATAGCTTCAATCATAATCCAAAATGGTGTCTTCCTCAAGTGTGCCAGGTGCACTTCCCTCAAATTTACTGTGTAAACCATTTTAATGATCCCAGCAACGTTAGACCAGAAATTCAACCTTGGTTTCACAGACTTCCTAGCACCACCGGACCGGCTCACAATGTTAGGCTGCTTGAACAAGACTCGTCCAGGCATGTTCACCTCAAATTTACTTTTTGATGACAAGCCCAATGCCTCTTGCCGTTTACGTTCACATGACCGTGTCCACCGACATCCCCCCGTGTTAACCCTTGTAGTTCCACAATTCATATAAGCAAAACATACAACTTCACCACATGGACAAATTTCAGTATTTCAAACCCAAAAACATTACCCAACCCAATCACAATACCAACACAACTAACTACAATACAATAACAAAAATTATCCAACGACAACGACAACTTGACAACAACACAATCTAAAAAATCATCATGTAATTGAACAACATTAATTACAAATCCAAAATAAAAATGTTCACACCACTTTCATAGAATGCCCACGTACACCATAGACGTCAAAAAAACCTTTGACCAGCAACATCAATTATAAAGCCACATACCAAATTACATTTTAAACTTACATACATATGCCACGTCCAACCCAAAAAGATATAACATGCCATATTAACTATGACTTCCCCAAACATAAACATTACAAAATCGTTTGACCATCCCCACACACAGGTGCCTGTGGTCCCCCCACACCACGCCCTATTCCCTCAACATTAAAACACCCCACACCTCACAATCATCTTAACACATATGACCCACAACATTAACGGGCACCAACCCAACAACCCCAACTTCAGAAATTCATATCCTAATCAAAAGCACCCAACATCCCACCCCAAAATGGCCCTACACGTATAATATTCCCCACGTTTCAAAACCAATCAAAACAGTTCAAAAACAACACAAAACACACATAGTGGGAAACACGCTATGAAGTAACAAATTAAAACGAAATGCATACATCCATATCATATTTGATTGTGTGGAAGAACACATACCACGATCCGCCAATAACAAAACCCTAACCACATCAAAACAGTGTGATAAAGGTAAAATAATAACCCAATCCATTACCAACTTACCTGTATCAGACATTTGAATAATACTTTTGTATCCACCGCCAATGAAACTTCACTCTGGTATGGAATGTTCACAGAGCAACAACCTCTTTCCATGGAACATATTAAGGTTCTTGACCACCACGAAATAAACGATTTTGAACCCTACAGCTTCTCTTACGCACAAACAAATGCGTGAAATATTGCCTAAATTTGTAGCGTGGATTTCGCAATCACCGAATTTTGAAATTCAAATGACAAAAGGGGATAATCGTAATAAATTCTGGAGTACACGTCGACAAACACTACGAAATCGTATTACCCAAACATACATCGATCAATAAAATTTAGGAACTTCTCACTGGGTCGAGTTACACAGGATCCACAAGCATACGAGAACGAGTGGGCGGGTTAAATCACGTGACTACACGACTCCCCCACATCACACAAACAACACTCATTGTACCTACATCACGAGCCACATCCACCTACCAGCAATACACACCACCTAAAAAGAGTACTAGTAACTTTTTAATTGAGACGTGAAGCACAAACACACCCAATTCCCACAAACACACGCGCGCCAAACCAACCTCAAATTAATACCTCAATGGCAAAATAGCAAACAAACACTCAAGAGGACTAAATGGTTTTAAAAAAAACAATTAGGACCATATGATCTATAAGATGGAAAAATGGTCAATTCCCCTATAAATAAAGTTTTTGTTATAATTTAATTTTAAAAATATTTTTAATTATTTATTTTAACTCGTGCATAGCATGGGTATTATACTAGTTCAATTAAAATGAATTGGAGATATATATCTTTCAAAAATATAACTATCTCCTCTATCAAGCCACTGTGACCACTGCCGCTCTACTACCACTTTATTACCATCATTATTGCTACACCACTACTATCAATATACTCTTAATATTACAAAAATGTTAGAGACTCCAAAAATTCTACCAAAAATTTTACCAAATGTCTCACATGGGTGTGGGACCCACATTGTGTGGGCCCTACACCCATGTGAGACGTTTGGTAAAACTTTTGGTAGAATATTTGGAGTCTCTAGCATTACTCTTAATATTATTTCACTACACTATTGTGTCCACTCTCATATTGATCTATTTTGATTTTTAATTTACTTTTCAAAATAGATTAAACATGGCCTTAACACTAATGATACTTATGCAATAAAAATTGACATTTCAAATTGTCTATGCATAAATAATTTTAAAATGTTATCTAAAGGTGACAAAAAATTAAAGTATGAGTTCAACAAAATGAGGGTTTTTTTTTTTTTAAAAGTAATTATGTATTCTTTAGTGGTGTCGGACAAGCTTCAATATGCTCACAATCAAATCCTTATCATTGCATATGGATATGTCTAAAAGAAAAAAATTTAAAAAGTTACCGTAAGAAAAAATTGTCATAATAATTAACTAGGATAATATTAAAGATATCATATGATAATTTCAAAATGTATATAGCAAAGATAATAATAACTTATGAGTAACGATAATATCAACAAAAATATATATATAGACAAAATATGAATAATGCATAGACTTGTAAAGCTTATCTTGCTTAACAAAAAAGCAGAGTACAAAAATAGCCAATAAATTAAATTATCAATTATACATAATAAGCCGTGGATTATAAGGTTTAATAGTTCATCCGGGGATTGCTAATATTTTTTTAAATAAAACTGTGCTAAAATGTTTATTAATATTAGAATTGTCACTGACACATAATTTTAGTGGATAATTTTATATAAAAATTATAAGAATAATTTTTTTTATAGTGAAATAAAATGTATGGTTGTTTGGGTAAAATAATATTTATTAATAATTGATATTTTTTTTGTGTAATTAACTCTAATAATAACTGTTCACAAATATATTCTATTCCAATTAATAACAAGAATTAGAAGTTGATTTGTCTTGCTTTGAAAAATTAGTTAAAAATTGGCATTTTAATTTTGTATTTAAAAAAAATAAAAAAAAATAGATAAGCGTTTAGTTAAAAGACAAAAATAAAATTTTAACGAAGTTATCAAATTAGGCAAAAAAATTAAAAAAAACATTTTGAGCTGTGGAAAGTGGGGAACAACTGTATAGACCAAAACGAATGCTATTTCCACGGTTCCGTCTCCAGGTACGCGCTCTCTCTCTCTCTCTCTCTCCCCCTCTCTGTCTCTTAACCCTTTCTTGCTCTCTCCTCTTATTCCCAGATTCCTATATACATACATATACACACACGTACACGTACTTGTTGCTAATTTCATAACTCTGAACGATTAAGTGTGATTTTTTTAACGATAATTAATTAACTCATTAATCGGATCATAATAGGATCACAATAAAAATTGGCCAAGAAGATCGAACAAGAGATTTTCTCAATTGGGCTTGCGAGTATGTTGGAAGTTTGAAGTTTGAGTAATTGCAATTGTACTCGAAGAAAAATGAAGGCGGGGAGTGCGGCGAAGCTGATCGTCGATGCGCTGCTGCAGCGGTTCCTCCCGCTCGCCAGGCGTCGCATTGAAACTGCGCAAGCACAGGTAATAATGGCTCTTCTCATGACATATTGTTGTTGAATTATAGAATTTGGATTTTTGTGTTTTTTTGTTTTTGGCTTGAAATGGTTTTTGGATTTTGGGAGTTAATGGGTTTAAATTCAATTGCAAATTTATTGGGGTTTGGCAATTGCTTTTTGATTTTTTTGTGGAATCTAAAAAGGCTGTTGCATTTGGAAATTGCCAAAATAGATATATATATATATATATATATTTTTTTTTTGGTTAGTGGAAAAGTTAGAATTTTTTTTTTTAATGCATTTTTAGTTCATGACAAAGGCTTTTGCTTTTTGGCTTATTTAGCCTCGAAGCAACCCGAGTTGTGAAAATTAGGTCAAAGAAAACCCAAACAAAAAGCTGTGAAATTGGAATTATGGGTTGCATTAACCAGGGCTGTAAAAATTGGGTAAAAAAAAAAACCAATATAAAAAGTTGTGAAATTGGAGTTCTGGGTTGCATCATTTTGCGCAAACAATGGAAGCTTTAATAGCATAAAGCATTAAAACCATGAACAATGAGAGGATGATGAATTACATTTGAAAGAACTTAATTATTGGCTGCATATGATTTGGAGGACTTCAGAATTTTGTTGTTGCATCAATGACATAACCTTTTGTAATCAACATTCAGTGTCTCCAAACTGTTGTGCATCTAGAAGGGTAGAAATTATAATTAATCAGTGTTAAGAATTCAAGATGTTGGTAAGTTTTATTTGATTGTCTTTTGGTTGGAAAAGATGAAATTTCATTGGTTGATATTGAATTACATAAGAAATGTAAATAACACATGGAAGAGAAAGCCAAAACAGAACTCCAAATTTTGTGGAAAGTTAAGCATTGACTTAAATATGATGGACAATGCAAAACCAATCAACCCTTCCTCTTTGTAGGATTTTTTTTTTTCTATATTTGATTTGACTTCAGTTATGTTCCCTCACGCATAGAGTCAGAATCTGTTACTTGGCACTTGGAGGCTTGTGGGTTGAAAGGGAGTAATTAATCTTGGTCTAATTGTGAGAGAACCTTTCGATCCATTTGGGAAGATTATAGTTATGGACATTTTGAAGTGGTAGCTAAAGAGTGTCGCCTCTCACTTTCTTAATCGTTTGTAGATATAAATTTTAAGGCTTCCTCTTGATTTCGTCAGCCATGGGGGACCCTGATTGTCATTTTTCTTGATGCATTGTTCTCCATTGATCCCCTACAAATATACTGTTACATTTTCCCTTTTCTCTTAATGCAATACAGTTTTGAGTTGAACATGTAAGCTAGATTAGTTGGTAGTAAGTACCAAGGGCTACAGTTTAGTCTATTAGGGTGGAGCTTGAAGGTTGAATGCCAACTTCCTGTCACCACTTGCCAATTGATTCAGTTTGAGTCTATTTTTCACTAAGCAAATAATAGACATCTACTTACACAAATACAAATTTGATATTTTCCTTGATAAAATATAACACACAATCAACAATTGCATTATGTTGCATTCTTGCAAATGCAATAATTGTCGAGGGAAAAAAAAGTGCCATGCAGAAAGGGCTATATGTATTATAAGCTTGGACTCGATTCTCATTGATAATTAAATTGTGTTATCTTTGTTTATATGGCATGATAGTGAGCACAAAATTTGATTTTGAAGAATTTGTTGAGAAAAAGTTAGATTTCCAAACAAAGGCCTATAAGACTTATCAGAGTAGGTCTTATAGCCTATCATTGATTTCTCAGGTGTTGGTGCTTATCCATACTAGTATCAAATCACAACAACTATTTTTGATTCGAGCAATGGTAGAGGGCCCAAATTCTGTGGCTCAAATGTGGCTCAAATGGCCAAAACGACGTCGTTTTGAGTACAAAACAACATCAAAATGGTCAAAACGACGTCGTTTTGGCCATTTGAGCCACATTTGAGCCACAGAATTAGGGCCCCCAAACATTTTTCTTTTGATTCTACCACATGCTTGACATGTTCTTTCCATTTCATTCAATGGTGGTAGTCATTGATAATATTTACTATTAGTTTTCAATATTTATTCTTGCTTTGACCTGGGGAATTAACAGGATGGACAGTACCTTCGACCATCAGACCCTGCTTATGAGCAAGTATTGGATTCATTGGCTATGGTGGCACGACATACACCTGTACCTCTTTTGGAAGCTCTACTTAGATGGAGAGAAAGGTGGGTTTTTCTACATTCTAAATTTATCTTCAAATCTGTTCATAAATGCCTTGTATTGTTTGTTAGTTGTTCAAAATATGAATTTCTTTTGCTTATTAGTGTCATCTTGTCCATGCGTACTTGTGACGTCACATTTTGAGAAGAATAATATGGTATGACTACTTTATCAATGGTTAGCATGTTAGAACACATGTTTCCACCTATGCCTGATTCTAGTTTGGGGTACTTAAAGCTGTTTCAACTTCTTAGATTTGAAGTTCTCAGTACTAGTGTTTCTACTTTTTATGTTAATTTATTTTTGATATGCAACCAACATTTATTGGGGTGGAAAAACCGAGATGTACATTACATGTAGGATGAGAAGTTCTGCAACAAAAGCTGGGGCTGCCAGTCAATGTTCGAGAATACTTTATCAATAGTTAGCATGTTAGAACCCATGTTTCCGCCTACACGTGATTCTAGTTTGGGGTACTTAAAACTGTTTCAATTTCTTAGATTTAAAGTTCTCAGTAATAGTGTTTATACTTTTTATTTTTATTTATTTATTTTTGATAAGCAACCAACATTTTATTGGGGCAGAAAAACCAAGTTGTACATTACGTTTAGGATGAGAAATTCTGCAATAAAAGCTGGGGCTGCTAGTCAATGTGGGAGAAAAAAAGAAAATCCTCTCAATATTGAAATTAATTGTGGTGGATTGATGAATAAGTTATGTTTTTATTCTATAAAAATAAAAGATCAAAACAAGAAGTAGACAACAGAGCCAATGGATATGGTGAGGATGTGGATCCATTGGTGTTAGTTTTTGACCTTGGGTAAAGTTTTTTTTTGTGGATCTTTGTGCATGGCGTTTTTAGTATGCTTATTATAGGTTGTACTAGTCATAGACTTAAGTTTGTTAATATGGAACCAAGCCCCATCAGAGGTAGGATATCTTAAAAACTATATAAAGGTATCTAAATATTTTCTTGTATGGAGAACAAACCTGGGAGAAAATCTTTGGCAATGGCAACTATGCTCTTTTGGATTGTTTTGATGCCATTCTTACTGTAGCTGTGATGTCTGGGAGTGGTTCCTACCATCGTCCTTTATTTTCTTCGATTTCTACCTGCAGAATTTTCAATTTGAATCACTATTATTTTCATGAATTTTTCTACTCAAAAGCCTTCTCCTCCTCCTTAACACCCATATCTTTAGGACTTACATATAAGCAAATAAAAAAATAAAAATAAAAAGCCATGAACAGCAACACAGTTGTTGTCCTATCTGGAAGCAGCATCATCAGAGAACTCAACCAGACAACCACAAGCCATTTAAGCTCTGCATAACCTGGGAAAAAAACCACTGCACCAGTACCAGACCTTTGCCTGTCTCAATGAGTTTGAAACATATCCTTGCAGCTCCTTTTCATCCAAGTTGAAGTTTTATAGTTCTAGCTGAAAAATGCTCTTCCGCATTCCTTATTGGGTTACAACCAGCTGGTTTTGCTAATTCATGAATTTTGCAATTGCAAAAGACTCCGCAAGGCCTCCAGTTTAATCAACATGAATTGTGCTAATTCATGAATTATGAATTCTGTGGTTATTATGTTATGGGCTTTTGCTTTTGATTAGTCTCAAGAAATATTGCAGTTCCCCTGCACTTTTTTCCCCTTTCTTTTCCATGGAAATATTATTACTTCATATTCATAAACTTAATAGCCAAAGTCTAATTTTACCTATATGGTTAGTCATCTTTATGTTAAGAAGTGAAACTGTATTGCTAGTTTGCTACATTGCAGTATATTATCACAAATTGTTATGACACTTGTATCTTTAAAATGTTATGTTTTTGGTTTCTGTCGCAGTGAATCCCCAAAGGGTGCAAATGATGCATCTACATTCCAGAGGAAGGTTTGTAAGACATTAATATTTTGCTTAAATTCTTATTCCTGTTTGCAAATTTGAGTTTTATTAATAGTGTTTTTAAATGGGTTCAGCTTGCAGTGGAGTGCATTTTTTGCTCGGCATGTATTCGCTTTGTGGAGTGCTGCCCACAAGAAGGGCTCACAGGTTTGGTCATTCTATTGTTTTGCTGACTTTTATTTGAATTGGAATATTTTAATCCAATGAACCTGGCTTGTACCCCCTGCAGAGAAGCTATGGATTGGGCTTGAAAATTTTGTGTTTGACTGGCTAATCAATGCTGACAGGTAAGAATGGTCAATATGGGTTTTTAGAAACTTGCTAACTGGACATGGTTTGCAAAAGATGTTGATTGCATGGTATATTACAATTCAATTTCTCTTTATTTTGCTAAACCTAAACTGTCTATACTCTATGCTAGCATGTTTGGTCTCCATCCCTAGCTTAAATCTCTTTTTCGATTGGGGTGGGTTTTAGGTAACTGTAGACACCCAAACTTTGTGACTTATGTCTACAGTATGGATGATAAGCCTTCTTAACAGAATCAGTGCGTAACATATGTTCAAATATTGATTTAGCATATGAAGAGTCTATGCATGCATAGAAAAATTTATCATGCATGCATTCTCTCATGCTGGTATTCATTTGGAATGAGAAGTTATGTTTTTATGAAGTTCTCTCCCCCCTGGCATTCCTTTTTTCTTCATGCACATCTCTCTCTCTCTCTCCCCTGTTTCTTTTGATACCTTGATTCTCATGATTAAAGTGGCATATTAGTTTGCACAGTGCACCGAATTTGTCATGCCATATAATGGTCCAAATCAGCAGTAGTTTTTTCATTGATATGTACCTATGATATGGTGAAGAAGGTTTTGCTTTTAATCAGAGATTAAATTTTAATTTACATAATTTTTGTTCAAAGGGAGTGCTAGAAAACATGGACCTGGTTCGTGTGCTCCATTATGAACCATGAACCTTGATGAACTATCACTTTTTAAGAAATGGAGAGACATGGGCTCCATGTTGTCTAGGAGTAAGCTTTTTCTCTCTTCCACCCATGTGCTATACTTGGTACCCACTCAATATTTACCAATGCAGGGTTGTTAGCCAGGTTGATTATCCTTCATTGGTTGATTTGCGGGGGCTGCTTCTGGACCTAGTTGCACAACTACTAGGTGCTTTGTCTCGAATCAGGTAACTAATAATTGCCAACTGCTATTTGTTTTACTAGATTACAATGTTATCATGACATTGCCCTTTTAGAATAGGTACTTGGTTTCAGTTGGCTGAATAGATTATAATGATCTTAACATATGTGATATGCCATGCTTAGCTTAGCTGTTTCTAGTTGATAAATTCTCAGTTAACTTTGGCATAAATAAGGAACAAGTCTCTTTGTCTACATCTGCTGACTTGCTTGAGGGTCTAGAGACTCCATTCCCAAAGGAAGGCTACTGTAATTGTTCTTCCTAATTACAAATCTTTTACATGACATTACCTGTTTGATCCTTCATTTTTTAGTACCTTGGTTGAAATGTGCATCCAGTAATATATTTATAAAATTGATTTAATATTCTTAATATATTTGGGAAATTTTAGTAAATATTCTTATTGAAGAAGGAAAAGGAAAGGACGATAAGTGAAGTCTATCATGCCGATCAAAAAAAGAAAAAAAAGTGTAGTCTATAGTGCTGGCAGCTGATCTGCTGATTTCATTACACCTTATTGATAATATTGCCCACTTTCTTGTTTTGTTTACCTCCTTGCCAGTGGGTTCAATAATCAAGTACATTAGAATCAGTGATTAGCTGATTTAATGATTAAATTTGAAAGCTAGTAATGACTTGTATGAGATATGTTCTACATGCATTCTCAGTCAACCTCAATCTCTTTTTTGACTGAGAATGGGATTTCGAGTGGCATTTATGCTTTGTTCTTAAATCCGTAATTGTAATTTTTTTTATAACTTTTGGTATCACTTTTCCTTTTTTTTTTTTTTTTTTTTTTTTTTTTTTTTTTTTTTTTTTTTAAACAGGTTTAGTCCTGTGACAGAGCGCTTTTTCATGGAACTCAATACTCGTCGGATTGATACTAATGTTGCCCGAAGTGAAACACTTAGTATCATTAATGGGATGCGCTACCTGAAGCTTGGGGTATGTATGAGATTGACGTCTGTTAGTGAAATTTTGCATAAAGACAAGTATATGACAATGAAGTAACTGCCAGGTTAAGACTGAGGGTGGACTGAATGCATCGGCCTCCTTTGTGGCAAAAGCAAATCCTTTGAATCGTGCTCCTCATAAAAGGAAAAGTGAACTTCATCATGCCTTATGCAATATGCTTTCAAACATTCTAGCGCCACTCACAGATGGTGGAAAGGGCCAATGGCCTCCTTCTGGAGTAGAACCTGCACTTACCTTTTGGTATGAAGCCCTTGCACGAATAAGAGGGCAACTCATCTATTGGATGGACAAACAGAGCAAACATATAGCAGTGAGTATAGCTCAGACCATGAGTTTATATAAATTTATGAATTAAAAATATCTTTAGCAATGACATAAAGTTGTCAAAATAATATTTGGTTAATATATAGGATGAGAAACTACTTGTGTGCACTCTAAACCATATTTTAGTAGTGTCCATCCCCCTCCATCTCCATCTCCCCCTTCCCCTCCCCCTCCTCAACATAGGAGCACATAGTAAAAAAAACTTTTTGCAGTTCGATTAGACTACTAGTTGTTTTATAAATTAAATCAAATTTCTAGTTAATTTTTTAGACCAAATTTAATTGGCATGTCTTTGATTAATGCTCCCTTTGTTTCTTGTCATTTTTTAACCTCACATTTGTTTTTTAGTTTGTTTCTTACTCAAGTAATTCTTTGTTTTAGGTTGGTTACCCATTGGTGACTCTTCTTCTCTGTCTCGGTGATCCTAATGTTTTCCTCAGTAACTTTGGTCCTCACATGGAGCAACTCTACAAGCATCTTAGAGTAAGTTTAACTATGTAACATTCAGTCTACAGTACAAGGAATATGGATGAGTACCTTATGTTAGGCTCATCATGTTGCTTTGTTAAGGGGTGTAGACCATACCTATGTTATTCTTAATTTCACTGGTTCAGTATACGATTTAACTGGGCTTTGTCATGCAGGACAAAAACCACCGTTTCATGGCCTTGGACTGTCTTCATCGGGTTTTGAGGTTTTACTTGACTGTTCATGGGGATTCCCAGCCGCCAAATTTATGGGACTACCTAGACAGTGTGACCTCACAACTCCTAACTATTCTCAGGAAGGGAATGCTCACTCAGGATGTTCAACATGATAAACTTGTTGACTTTTGTGTGACTATAGCAGAACATAACCTTGACTTTGCCATGAACCATATGATATTGGAACTGCTGAAGCAAGATAGTCCAAGTGAAGCAAAGGTTATTGGTCTTCGTGCCTTGCTTGTTATGTCTCCTTCAAGCCAGCATGTTGGCCTAGAAATTCTTCATGGTGATTTATGATTATTTTAATGACCTAAATGTTCTGTATACATGCTTGATTTTGTTGTTTCAACTTTTCAACTGATTTTGTTCTGATGGATTGACAGCTCATAATATTGACCCCTACCTTCCAAAAGTGAAGGCTGCAATGGAGTCGATTCTAAGGTCTTGCCACAAAATCTATAGTCAAGCCCTTCTTACTTCTTCAAAGACCACAATAGGTATTAATGTTTGCATGCATTTATTTTGAAGGATGAAGGAATTCTTGGCATGTTATGTAATTTGGTAGAACATTTCTTTATTCTTGATTTTTCTTCTTGCTGATTTGTTATTAATATTTATGCATATATACATCCTTTTTGCTTGCCAGGAAGAGTATGACTTGTTTTGATGTTTTAATTATTTTTGAGAATTATAGAATGGATGAATGCTCATAAGTTGCTCAGAATGACTTAAAAGCTTAGCCCTCGTTTGGCATGTTGAGTTGGGAGGCTAAAATAGCCACAAAAAGACAAAATAAGCTCAAAAGCTAATAAGATAAAATGTCACATTCAAACCATAATCATTTCGTTTTTTCTCTCACAAAAGTCAAAAAAGCCAAAAAGTCCAACCCAAACAAAGCTTTTTAGCCTAGGCTAAAATAGCCAAAAAATCAAAAAGTCAATCCGCATCCCAAACGAAGCCTTAATGTTGTTGATGGATTTTTGTCTTGATTTTGTATACCTTAGTGTACAAAAATTGCACCCTTTTGGTGTTTTCAATATAGTTTTCCTTACCTATTACAAATGAAAAAAAAAAAAAGGAAAAAAAAAGAAAGAAGATCAGCATTGTCATATAGTTTTCTGTTATTTTTGTAATAAAAAGCAAAGTTTATTGTTAGATATTAGAATGAGAATACAATTGAAAAAGGACAGAGTCCTAAACTTAAAAAAAGAAAATGAAAATGAAAAACTATGAAACAAGCAAACAACATATACTAGGCTACTAGCACTTGGCATTGTTACTACACTTAGATAATATATATATATATTTAATTTTATTATTATTATGTTTTTTGAAATATGGATACTATATAAAACTAAGGAAGATAGAAACGTTCCTGATTAGTTGACCTGTTGAAATAGGAAGTTGAAGCAACGGTTGTCTAAATAATGTCCAAGATCCCATGGAGCATATGGGACTCCCATGGTCCTTGTTCTAACCCAATCTCTATCCTTGGCATCTCTAGGAAATGTAAGTAGAGCTATTAATGTCCAATTCTTTCTCTTTTATGGTGTACCCCATTCCACTATGCAAAGAGAAATTTACATAATCTCACCACTGCCATCCCCAAAAATGCTCCCAAAGGTCTGAAAGATTTCCTACGGAGCAACCATCAAACTGAGTACTCGAGTATACCGCTAGAGGAGGTATTGTTCATTGATTCACTTTTATTTCAAGCCTGTCATGTGCTTATGGTTCTCGAAGAAGATAAAAAACAAAGCTTGTTCCATATATTTGCTACTTCTTCAAACTTATCCTCAAAAATTCGGGCGTTTGTTTCCAACCAAACTACCTACAACAAGGCATAAATAACACAACTCAAAAGTAATCGAGCATTATTAAATGGAACAAAAGCCTGCATAATCAATCATGAGTATCTGAACACAAGAAGCTAGAACTACCCAATCAATCTCCTCCATCTGAATCAGTCTGCACCATAATGCCAAAATCATGGCGCAATGCAAAAACAAGTGATCAATGCTCTCCTCATGGGACCTACACAACACTCCACACCACACCACTGAGGAAGTAAATGACAATTAGGTCTCCTTTTCTGAATTATGTATTGTTGTCGAGCTTTTTATGTGTTGAACATTTTCTGTATCAATCCCCATGTGCCACTTTTTACTACTCAACATTTACTGTATCATGCTAGTCTATTTATCTTTTTGTAGTTTTATATGCTTGGTTATTGCTTTACAAAATTGTCTTCTCTTAGCATGGTGTTGCTTTCAATTTTTGCTTTTATTGATTGAATGCTATATGATAAATGAATGCATGGTTCTCTAGATGCTGTAACAAAGGAAAAGTCTCAAGGATATCTTTTCCGGTCAGTGCTCAAGTGCATACCGCTTTTGATTAAAGAAGTTGGCCGAAGTGATAAAATTACTGAAATAATACCTCAACATGGCATAAGTATTGATCCTGGTGTTCGTGAGGAAGCAGTACAAGTACTGAATCGGATTGTGAGATGCCTTCCACATCGCCGTTTTGCAGTTATGACAGGGATGGCTAACTTCATCCTACGGCTTCCTGATGAGTTCCCTCTTCTCATTCAAACATCATTGGGACGCCTGTTAGATCTCTTGCGTTTTTGGAGAGCTTGTTTGTCTGATGATAAGTTAGAATATGATGCCCAAGAAGCGAAGCGTGTGCAGAGGAAAGATGGATTCAAGAAGTCTTCTGTCAATCACTCTGGAGATGCAATTGAGTTTTGTGCTTCAGAGATAGATGCAGTTGGTCTTATATTTCTTAGTTCTGTGGATAGTCAGATCAGACATACAGCATTGGAGTTACTGCGCTGTGTTCGTGCTTTAAGGAATGACATACGAGACCTTTCAATGCATGAGCGATCAGACCACATTTTGAAGAATGAAGCCGAACCAATATTTATAGTTGATGTTTTAGAAGAGAATGGGGTAGGTTACACTTTCACCCTCCTTAAATTTTCCCCCTTTCTATACCATGAAAAATAATTACGTTTTTTTTTCTTTTTTCTTTTTTTTTTTATAATATTATTACATCAAACATGTACCTATGAGTTTTACAGGATGACATCGTTCAGAGCTGCTATTGGGATTCTGGGCGTCCATTTGATTTGAAACGAGAATCTGAGGCAGTACCGCCAGATGTGACACTTCAGTCTATTTTATTTGAGAGCCCTGATAAGAACAGATGGGCACGTTGTCTTAGTGAATTAGTCAAATATGCTGCTGAGCTTTCCCCGAGCTCTGTTCAGAAAGCAAAGTAAGCTATTTCAAATTCGTTTATATGTTACACATTCTGATGTTTTGCCAAATATTGATGTTCTTTATATATCAATTTTATTTTATTTATTTATTTTCCATAATATGAATAGGAAGTTGTTTATGCAACTTATTGCAGTAAATTCTTAAAGAAATTAATATTGCAAGGTTTTTGTAGAACTTACAGGTGTTTTTGCGGTGTTGTGAACTGGATGACTCCCTCTTTCTCAATTTTGTAGCTTTCTGCTACATAAAATCACAAATGTTATAAACATGTTAGCATGTTACTTTGTTGATTTTAGGCAATGCGGGGGAACTTTGGTAAACAGTGTTACTAACAACATGAATTGTCTCCTGGTTGTTGCTCAGGGTTTTAAATATTAGCCATTACGTATCGTATAGGCCATTACATAATGGGATTTTGGACTTTTGATACCATTATTCACTAATATATTGGTCTATATTGTCCAATAATGTTTGACATCAACCGATATATGATCGCATTGCTGATACCGATACATCTCCCGATGCCATTCTTTAAAACCATGAGTCTTGCTCTTCTTGTTTTTGATCCAAAAAGATTGCGTGATTTTCAAATTGAAAAATCCCAAACTCTCATTATGAGTTGATCTTCATTTGCAGGTTAGAGGTCATTCAGCGTCTTGCTCATATCACACCTATGGAGTTGGGTGGGAAGGCTCATCAGTCACAGGATGCTGACAACAAACTAGATCAGTGGCTTATGTATGCAATTTTTGCGTGCTCATGTCCACCAGATAGTAAGGAAGCTGGTGGCTTAGCAACAACCAAAGATCTCTTCCATCTGATTTTCCACTCACTAAAATCTGGATCTGAAGCCCACATTGTAAGTACAGACTAACTAGAAACTGGTAATTCTGAGCACAGGATTTAAGTTGTATATTGTTATCAATCACACTGTTCTTGAAGAAGCAAAAGTAAATTGGAAGGGAGAAGTAATTTCAAACCTTGAAGGAGGGCAGGACTGGATTATTATGAAATCTGATTTATCCCTTTTTTTTTTCTCCCTCCAATCACAAAGCTATTTTCTTCAATGTTGACAACTTGGTATAAAATTGGTGGAAAAAGCCACGAGGCAGGAAGAAACACTTGAAAGAAACAGATGATAAAAAGCTTAATTGTAGAAATTGTGGGATGGAAATTAGATGTGTGCTTGTATTATATTGGAATTGATAAACGTTATATCAAACATTTCTTAGAATTCAAAACTATATTAAATAAATTAGTCAATCAAATTGTCCTTTCATCACATCAACACTTCCAAATTTCAATAGGAATTTCATATGGTCCTACACTTTTTCCAACTTCCATTTTCTTAATAACCTCATTTATCTCCACTATCTTGCTAAAGAATTGATTATTAATATTACTAATAGAATTATCAGTTTGTTTGGTTTGGATTTTCAAGATTCACTTTTCAAAAAATTGAACTTTTTTTGTTTTTCATGCTTTTTTGTTTTCACTGAATTTTTTTAATATTCTAAGCAATTTTTTTAAAATTTTTTTTAGATACATCTAACATAAATACACTTAAAAAGTATAATATTTGTGAAAAAATCTTTAGAAAATTCATTAAATATAAAAAATACAAACAAATATAAGAATTCAGTCTATTTTTTGTATTCTTGTGTATTTATTGATTTTTTTACAACTAGTTTATTTTTTAGATACATCTAAGTAAGGTACATCTAAAAAATTTTTAAAAATTGCTTAATTTTTTAAAAATATTCACTAAAAACAAAAAAAATCAAAAACAAAAAATCCAATATTTAGAAAGTTGAATTCAGAAAATTGAAACCAAACACACTAGTTTCTTCTAAACTCAAGGTTCTCGAGTGGCTTTCATTAAATAGCTTATCAAATAACTTCGCCATTCCTTAATCTCATTTTTCTTTACTAGAACTGTCTTATCTCACTCTTAATACACTTAATGTAGTTTAGGTCTCCACATTTCGTATTTCTTTTTCTGGCTTATATTAGAAATTTTCTCCATTACTGAACTCTCTTATCCTCTCTAGCCGCCTTCTTAACTTCAGCTTTGGCTATTTTATTATCTTTCAAAATTTTCATTTTTTCTACATTTACAGAAACCTTTATGGCAATCGTGTGTATTCTTCATTAATGTCCTTGAATGCTTCTACATTTTCTAAATTCATTTTGGAGTTGGCTAATTGTGCTTTTCTTTTATCAGCATGCAGCTACCATGGCTCTTGGCCACTCACATCTTGAGGTATGCGAAGTCATGTTTAGTGAGCTTGCAACTTTCGTTGATGAGGTTTCTCTGGAAACTGATGCAAAACCCAAGTGGAAGGTATAGTAGATGACTAATTGTGATATTTTTTCTCTTTTTTTTCTTTTTTTCTGTTTCTATGCTGTGTCTTCCCTTTTTAATTTTTTTGTTCGTTTGTTTTTAAAATCTATTTATGACCCTTGCTAGACACAGCTTATCGAAAATGAACAGCTGTGTGTAGTTACTGGTTACTATAATTACACGCCATGCAATTGCTTTTGTTTAATATGACGTACGGCGTTGCAGGGAAAATTCCTTTGATTGTACGATATTTTCTGTTCTTGCTTTGATGTTTAGGTAGTTCAATTTTGCATTCTGATCAATTGAACTTGCACAATATGTCACTTTTATGGATGTAGAGTCAAAAGGCTCGTCGTGAAGAACTCCGTATCCACATTACAAATATATATCGCACAGTTGCTGAGAATATCTGGCCAGGAACGCTAGGCCGCAAACCAGTTTTCCGCCTTCATTATTTAAAGTTCATTGAAGAAACAACCAGACAATTCTCAACTGTATCTCCTGAGAGCTTTCAAGAAATACAACCTCTTCGTTATGCACTTGCTTCTGTTCTAAGATCATTAGCTCCAGAATTTATTGAGTCAAAATCAGAGAAATTTGACCTTAGAACAAGAAAACGACTGTTTGATCTTCTTCTCTCCTGGTGTGATGACACAGGCAGTTCATGGAGTCAGGATGGTGTTACTGATTACAGACGTGAAGTTGAACGTTATAAGTCTAGTCAGCTTGCTCGGTCAAAGGATTCTGTTGATAAACTTACATTTGATAAAGAGATGAACGAACAAATTGAGGCAATCCAGTGGGCCTCCATGAATGCTATGGCTTCTCTATTATATGGTCCTTGCTTTGATGACAACACAAGAAAAATGAGCGGCCGAGTTATATCGTGGATTAATAGTTTGTTTATTGAGCCTGCACCTAGGGCTCCGTTTGGTTATTCACCGGTGGATCCAAGAACACCATCATACTCTAAATTCACAGGAGACGGTGGTCGTGGAGCTACTGGACGTGATAGGCACAGGGGCAGCCACCTTCGTGTCTCCCTTGCAAAAATGGCCTTAAAGAATCTCCTTCTTACAAATTTGGACCTGTTTCCTGCTTGCATTGATCAGGTATATCTTTGTCCTTCCATTTAGTATCACATTCCTATCGGGATATATAGGCATCTACTTGATGTGCCTATTGTTGTGATTCTTTGATGTGCCATATCCCACGATTATGTGTGCAACTTGGGTGGGCATAATTTGAGCAACTTGAGTCCAGCCCGAAAAAATTTAGGGCCTGGGCTGGGGTTTTCACAACCCAAGTAACACGAATTCTATTATTAATATATATATTATATAATAAACATGAAATATTATAAATTATGGATTATTTTCTGACCATTTAAAGTAAATCATATTACAATGTAGTACATTCTATTGTTTGCTACACATAACTCAAACTAATGTTTTAATTGAGGTTTGTTTTTGTATTTTTTTATAGATAAATTTTCATTTTTCCTTTCAGTAAGTGCAATACATTAGTTTAGGAAACTAAAAATAGTTTGTGTTTGAATTTGGGCAACCTGAGCCTAGCCCACATTCTTTGAGTTAAACTCAGACTCAGACTTGGGCAGACCCCTTTACACTTTGGGTTGAGCTTGGACAGAAGCTCGACCGAACCTGCCTGAGTTGCAGCCCTACCAAAAATGGGACTGGCTTGATCAGATGGGTGGTGATGGTTCAGGAATCTGTAGTATTTTTCAAAAGTCAGTTGTTTGAATCAGAAAAGCATTATTCCTCACCTATTGGTGTTTCACCTTTGAGCATGGTTCACATTCTGATTATCCTCTATATCACATAAGTTTTTTTCCACACGTGTAATTGAACACTGCCATCCTAAGTAGCATATTGAAATGGGCTGCCTATATTCTGATTGTCATCTCCTTCTGTTTAATTTCCAATTTCGGTATGGATTATCGTGTTTATATCTTTTTGCTGGACTAATTGATTTAAATACAACTTCTTCTTTTTTTTTCTTTTTCCTTTCACAGTGCTACTACTCTGATGCTGCTATAGCCGATGGCTACTTCAGTGTACTCGCTGAAGTCTACATGCGCCAAGAGATACCAAAATGTGAAATTCAGAGATTGTTGAGCCTGATCCTCTACAAGGTTGTGGACCCTTCTAGACAAATACGTGACGATGCTCTTCAGATGCTCGAGACACTTTCTGGCCGTGAATGGGCCGAGGACGGCAATGATGGCTCAGGAAGTTATCGAGCTGCTGTTGTCGGCAACCTCCCCGACTCCTACCAACAATTCCAATACAAACTCTCTTGCAAGCTTGCCAAAGATCATCCTGAGCTGAGCCAACTCCTTTGTGAGGAGATCATGCAGAGACAACTTGATGCCGTTGACATAATTGCACAGCATCAAGTTCTAACCTGCATGGCTCCTTGGATCGAGAACCTCAATTTCTGGAAGCTCAAGGACTCAGGTTGGAGCGAAAGATTATTGAAAAGCCTTTACTATGTAACATGGCGCCATGGTGACCAATTCCCTGATGAAATTGAGAAGCTTTGGAGTACAATTGCTAGCAAGCCTAGGAACATTAGTCCGGTTCTTGATTTCTTGATCACAAAAGGGATTGAAGATTGTGATTCGAATGCATCAGCTGAAATTAGTGGTGCTTTTGCTACATATTTCTCAGTTGCTAAGCGGGTGAGTTTATATTTAGCTCGCATTTGTCCACAACGTACAATTGATCACCTGGTATACCAACTAGCTCAGCGGATGCTAGAGGATAGTGTGGAACCGCTCAGGCCCGTTGCAAATGAAGCCGATGTCAATGGAAATTTTGTGTTGGAATTCTCTTCGGGACCCGCAGTGGCCCAAATTTCTTCTGTTGTGGATAGCCAGCCTCACATGTCACCCTTACTTGTGCGAGGATCACTTGATGGTCCACTCAGAAATGCCAGTGGGAGCTTGAGTTGGAGAACCGCAGCTGTTCGAGGACGAAGTGCCTCGGGCCCACTGAGTTCAATGCCTCCTGAGTTGAACATCGTTCCTATAAGTACTGGCCGATCGGGCCAGCTCCTTCCATCTTTGGTAAACATGTCAGGCCCATTAATGGGGGTTCGAAGTTCAACGGGGACGTTGCGGAGTCGCCATGTTTCTCGAGACAGTGGAGATTACTTCATTGACACACCAAACTCCGGTGAAGATGGGTTGCATTCAGGGGTTGGAATGCAAAGTGTTAGTGCTAGAGAACTTCAATCGGCTTTACAAGGGCATCAACAACACTCGCTCACTCATGCTGACATAGCATTGATTCTACTCGCAGAAATCGCATACGAAAATGACGAGGACTTTCGGGAGCACTTGCCTTTGCTGTTTCACGTCACGTTTGTCTCAATGGATAGTTCTGAAGACATTGTGCTCGAGCACTGCCAGCACTTGCTTGTTAATCTGTTATATTCGCTTGCAGGTCGGCACTTAGAGTTGTATGAAGTTGAAAACAGTGATGGAGAGAACAAACAACAGGTTGTGAGTCTGATCAAGTATGTCCAGTCAAAGCGAGGGAGCATGATGTGGGGGAATGAGGACCCCACGGTTGTAAGACCCGACCTCCCAAGCGCGGCGCTCTTGTCTGCCCTCGTTCAGAGCATGGTTGATGCGATCTTTTTCCAAGGAGATCTCCGGGAAACTTGGGGCACCGAGGCACTCCGATGGGCTATGGAGTGCACATCGAGACACCTTGCTTGCCGATCACATCAGATTTACCGTGCTTTGAGGCCCCACGTCACAAGCGATGCATGCGTATCGCTTCTCCGTTGCCTCCACAGATGCTTGGGAAATCCGGTTCCTGCAGTCTTGGGCTTCATCATGGAAATTCTGTTGACATTACAAGTGATGGTGGAGAAAATGGAGCCGGAAAAAGTAATACTCTATCCCCAGCTTTTCTGGGGGTGTGTAGCAATGATGCACACGGACTTTGTTCATGTTTACTGTCAGGTGCTCGAGCTCTTCTCTCGTGTGATTGACCGTTTATCATTCCGTGACAGAACCACGGAAAATGTACTCCTTTCTAGTATGCCTCGAGACGAGCTAGACACCAGTGTTGGCGATGGTCCCGAATTTCAACGGATGGAATCGAGGAATATGTGTGAGCCGAGCCCATCTAGTGGGAAGGTCCCAGCCTTTGAAGGAGTTCAGCCTCTCGTGCTTAAAGGACTCATGTCAACTGTTAGTCACGGTGTCTCTATTGAGGTTCTCTCACGAATCACCGTTCACTCTTGTGATTCGATATTCGGGGATGCTGAGACGCGGCTCTTGATGCACATCACAGGGTTACTTCCATGGCTCTGCTTGCAGCTTAGCCAGGACGCGGTGGTAGGGCCTGCTTCGCCACTCCAACAGCAGTACCAAAAAGCTTGCTCGGTTGCAGGCAACCTCTCAATTTGGTGTCGGGCAAAATCTTTGGACGAACTAGCCGCTGTTTTTATGGCTTACACGCATGGTCAAATCCGGAGTATCGATAACCTACTTGCTTGTGTCTCGCCTTTGTTATGCAATGAGTGGTTTCCAAAGTACTCGGCTCTGGCTTTTGGGCACCTTTTACGGCTACTTGAGAAAGGACCGGTTGAATATCAACGCGTGATACTTCTCATGCTCAAGGCATTGCTTCAACATACTCCAATGGATGCGGCTCAGAGCCCACATATGTACGCAATTGTGTCTCAGCTAGTTGAAAGCACTTTGTCCTGGGAAGCACTTAGTGTGTTGGAAGCCCTTTTGCAAAGTTGTAGCTCGGTGAGTGGGTCCCACTCGCACGATCCGGGCTTTTTTGAGAACGGGTTTGGTGGGACTGACGAGAAGCTGCTTGTTCCTCAGACCTCATTCAAGGCTAGGAGTGGACCGTTACAGTTTGCGATGGGATCGGGGTTTGGAGCTGGTTTAGCACTGGCTGGACAAGGTGGTGCTACAGAATCTGGGATGTCAGCTAGAGAGAAAGCGTTGCAGAACCCCCAGCTAATCCTTGGGCGGGTCCTCAACAGCTGTGCGCTCGGGAGGAGGAGAGATTACAGAAGGTTAGTGCCTTTTGTGACCACAATTGGAAAACCCTAAAATGTATTTTTGGTGGAGATGGTTCGTAAATAGGCATATCATAGCCTAGTGGTTGTTTTTTCATGTTGTATGGAGATGGCTTGTAAATAGGTATGTCATAGCCTAGTGGTTGTTTTATCGTGTTGTACATTGTAGGAACACAGCAATCAATCACAGAATTGGACACAACCCTTTCACAGGAGGTAGGTCCCACTTTTTTGTGAGAGGATTTTGTATGATTCTCTAATTGATTTCTGTGCAAGTAGAAGAATGACGGTTAATTTTTGTAGTTTCACTACTATCCACCCACCAGTTGTCTATATAGTTTTTCACTCTCTTCATCTTCAGTTAATTATAATAATTGGGTTTGCTGTGTACAAAGTGACTTTTTGGATCTTTTTCTATTGTTAGAGCATTATTTTATCAATCTTTCCAGCTGAAAGAAGTCCTGTTCTTATCAAGCTGCATAGGAACACCTGTAATTATCCTGAATAATGCTCCCAATGTTGTTGAACATTTCTTAAGAATTAATGAGATCCCAAAATTTTCCTCTGTGATTTATTCTGAGTTTGGTTAGGATGGAAGTGGTGGAAATTGTGAGAAAATGAATTTGTTTAAACTTTTCACAGGTTGGTTTAGCATAAGAATGGTGAAAAATATAAGAAGATTAAAATATTTTGTACAAGTCGTATCAGTAAGGTAATTTGACTTTTAAAGTTTCTTACAAAAAATACATAAAATTTTATTTCCTTGTAGGAAAGAAGCCAAGTGTGTCAACTTTCTTTCAAAATTTATCACAATTAAATGCATACTAGAAAATAAATTTTCCTTTCATTTACTTCACTTTTCATCATATTTTACCCTATTTTTCATTATATTTTTTTTTCACACCAATCAAACAAAGCAACACATTTGTATCTTTATCTTCTGTATTACTAGCATAGTGGCCAAACAATTCCAGAAGTCCAAATTTCTAAAGAAAAATTGCAAATTAGTATATGTTTTCAAAAATAATTTCAAATAAATGTTTAACTTTACGAACTTTAATAATTACCATGAATTTATAATTTTTTTGTAAATTTATCATTGATTTGCAATTTTTTCAGTTCTAAATGCAAGTTAAAGACATTCAAAAAAGGATTAATCACATTTTTAGTCCTCAAAGTACAAATTTTATGTCATTTTAGTCCTCAATATTTGAATTGTGTCAATTTGATCTCCAATGTTTAACCATCATCACTATGATCGAGTTGCAACATGCCCAACAAACAAACAAAAAAATGATGATTAAAAAGAAAATATACAAAGACGACTGGAAAAAAAAAATGAAATGAACAAGGAAGACAGAATGCACAAGAAGGAAATAACTTCATATCCTAGATATAAACTTGCAATTCAAGTCCAACACAACAATCTTCAATTATAAATACTCGGCAATACAATACTGCACCGAAAAAAGAAAAAAAGGAGGGATATAAAATCCAGAATCGAAACACGCCTGTATACACAACATGTTGCGAAGCAACTAGCTCAACTTTGGATATTGAGCAGAATGTTCTTCCTCCTATTGAAACCAAACTCAATAGATTTTTCTCCAACTCATTCCAAAGGAGTCCTGCTTTCTTGGCGTTTTCATGCAAAATGATGCAACGCCCACCAGTTGATTGTTGACAATGAGGGTTCATTCGCGTGGCGATGCATTCTTCTTCAACAAGCCATAAGCATCACTGTATATTGCCACCGCGTTTGAAACCACAGCAAGGACGATCATGAAAACAGATAGAATCTTGTCCTTCTTTGCTGCTATGCCATGACGATCCCTGAAACATATATTGATAATTCCGTAACTAAAACATTCTGAACAAAATGTATAGTTTCTGGTGATGATAGTATCAGCAATTGAAGCACATCAAAGCTTTTTAGCACGAGAGAAAACTTGGAAATTGAGCAAATTCATAGACTCATATATCATAGAAGTCTAGATGTCATACATATTTTTTTCCCTCTAGTGTAGATAAGGTGGAGATGTGAAATTTGAAGAACTCAAGCCACAGGAAGGAACAAAATTAAAAAATTTAGAAAAAGAACAAAGGAGTTGAGAGGTTTTTGAGTGATTTTTACCCCAATTTAAAATTGTGTAGGTTTGAATCAAGAGTTTGAGATGCTCCAACAGCCCCTATTATCACTAACCATTAGAACCCTTTTCTTTCTAACACTGGAAATACGTGATCTAGCCTAGCTTAGGGGAAGAGGGGTGAGGAGGGGAGGGCCGGCGTTTGAACCATCAACCCCCAATGCAGGAGTATGGAGGTCCAACCACCCGGGCGCTCATTCTTTTTGTCATTAGAACCTAAGCCAAATCATGGTTTTTCAGGGACTAGAATCTTCACATTTTGAACTTGAAAAATCTGTACTTCTATATGGTACTTACTTCAAGCTAATTTCTTCCAGGAAAGAAAGGTAACTTACCTGAGTGTAATGGCAGCAGGAAAAATGAAGCCAATGCAAACAGCAGCAGTTGCTCCAGTGAACTGAAAAGCATCCCAAATGCTGGGTATGAAATTTGCGCCCAGGAAGATGAGAGAAATAAGCCCAAAGCTGATTAATGTGAACCTCAAGTTGTCCGATGCCAAAGGCCTTGCGGATGGAAACAGAAGGCCATCCAGGTTCAACCGTAATGGATAGAAAACAATGGGAAAGACAAGCATGAGGTGACCGGCATAGCTAACACGAACAACATCATTAAAAAGAGAGCCGTATGGGATTCCAAGGTTGGTGTCAAAATTGGCAAGCACGTCATCAAGAGTTGCATCACCAAATAGGAGGAACCCGAATAGGCTTGTCATTACATACACAGTTGAGCAGAGAGCAAGAGAGGACCGCACAACAGCTTTTATCTGCGTGTTGTCTTCAAGTTCATTGTCTATTGAGTGAACTATAAAATTTTCATGTTCACAGAAAGGTCAGGCCGTTATACAAGCATTTCCAATTTAAAAGGAGAAACTAATTTGTTTAGAGTTTAAATGAAATTCCTAGAATGGATCTGTACGTCTACCCTGATCTTTAAAAATCAAATCTTGCAATATAAAGTGATAAAATTGCCTTTATTCATGAAAAATTATTTCAATATTGCAAGTCCTGAGTGAGCACCTCAGAGTTCATTTAACCAAAGAATCTATGATAGTACATAGTTTTTCATTACAATTGGATCAAATTATAGAAGCCAGGCAAAACAACTTAAATAACCAAACAACCAAACAGTTGAGTCAGATGTAAGGTAATTTCAGCGACCCATAAGAACCGGTCATCAAAAGCATTATTTGAATATTCAAGAAATAAAGAGAATGTAAAATAACTGAGTAGATTTCAGGTTGAATTCAAGGTACCAGAATCTTGCTTGGTAAGTCTACACAACCTCATTGCGTTTTGAACACGTTATATTTTCAATATTCATGCTCCTAACATCAAACAATAAAAGACAAGACGATTGGATATAAGCAACATAAAATAACAAATAGTCTGCGTACCATTGTAGTGGCAGATGTATGCAGTGACGAGAACAGGAACTACAGGGAAGAGGTTCAAAACTGATGTGAAATCAGTAACATCAGGAAGTAACCTTGGCATCAAAATGCTTCCGTTTATCAACTTGACAACGGTGATTCCAACCATAATTACAAGGAACACAACAGCCAGCGCAACTGATAAGGCAGATGTAAATTTCAATGAATCTGCAACCACAAGAAAAGGCGCATATGAGAACCACACCTAGATCCAAACGATGATAGGTGAAAGTGCAATAAAATTCGCTGACGACTTTATTCATGAAACGAACAAATCAACCACCATAGTAAATGTTGGCCAAGAATGCACATATAGGCAAAACAAGAGGTTGGATATGACATACAAAAACTCAAGAAAAAGAATTTCCTTTTTTTTTAAAAAAAAAAGAAGAAGAAGTGAAAGTTTTCCCTTTTTGCTCCAAGCCTAATTTAAGTACATCAACCAGCGTCTCAAAAAATTCATCAATCATTAAGGTCTCCTTAGATCTTCGAAATTTGAGAAAAAGGAGTAATTATCAGGTTACGCACCAGACCAGAAAAACAGTTTCAGAAGTATGAACAACCAAGATAATTCAATTGTTATGAAACACTATTAAGCATCTTGAGGATACTTGATCCAACTAGTATTTAACTTGTGGTAGTTGATTAGGAATAAGTCACATGTAAGCAAATGAGACAGCAAACCGCGCAGAATCTATTTTCAGTAAGCATGAGCTCATTAATCACAGCCAGATTGAAAGGAAAAGACTGACCTATACGCTTTAAGCATGCCAATGGAGCAAACACAGCAAGGGTTGTGACTAGAAGAACAATGGTACGCCCATTCCACCAGGATGGCCCAAACCACCCTTCAAACACACCGGCATGGTGAATTCCACTTGAAGTTGTTCCAGAAAGCACATCGCCTACAAAAAAACATAATTAAGGGGAAAGAATCACCAACATTCTTAGAGATGTTTGCATAAATACGAGTACTAGAGCCACATACAATACTTAGAGCTTTTCACACCAAGTGAAAGTTCTTCCTCAAACTCTCTTGTTCACATAAATATTACCATAAATCACTAAAATACTTAAGAGCTGTTCACATCAAGTCAGTAATGTTAATACCTATGAAAATGAATTTAGATGATGAATGTTGAGAAAAGAGTGTTACCTATAATAATCATGTACACAATAAGAACACCAACGTTGTTGACTAAAACACATATTTGGAGTGCAATCCTCCCACATTTTCCAAATGCATCCGCCATAACACCTCCATAAGAAGTTGTTTTCCCAACCCTGCTAGATCTAAGCAACATCTCAATTGAAGCTTCTGTGAGGAAAGCCATAAAAATAATCATAGCAATCCCAAGAACAAGGCCCAAAACTTTCATAGTAGCGGGCAAGGCCATGATTCCAGCACCGACAATTGTGGTCGATAAATTAAACACTGCCCCGGTAAAAGAAGCCCCATCAAACTCATCGAATCCAGCATCATCCTCTTGCTGCTTGGGCAATAGAGGCACTCTCTCATCAACAACTTGTTTGTTCTTACGCGACTTCTTCTCTTTCGCAGTCTCAGGGCTTCCATTCGTCATCGTCAAATTACTTAACTTTATGGGCAAAGAATGAGTTGTATGAATTATATTATATGTTCTTGGATTTAATTAAAAATCCTGCACCAGAGAGAGGAAAAGAAACTCTTGAGAATCAAGAGGAAAAACCTTAAACTTTACAAATATGGTACTAAATATCCAGTATACTTTTGAATTGTAAACCAGTAAAAGTTGAGGAAACAAGTACTTCAATTAAGCTGAAAACAGAACTAGATCAACAAAAAGATATACAAATTCAAAGAGATGCAAATTCAATGATTAGAGTTAGATCAACATTTAGTATTCATAAAATTTGCAAAACCCAAAACCAATTGATGACAACGATCATTACGAAAGGGGTATTCAAGATTAAAATTAGAAAGTGAGTAAAACCCAGAAGCCCAAAACAATGAAATTTCCAAAAAAAGACCAAAAAAAAAAACTGAAAAAGCTATGAAATTAGGTAGATCTACCTGAAATTGTTGGAATGCAATCAATTTACACCAAACCCAAGATCCAGAAATAAATTCCAGAAAGAAATTTTTGAAAAAAGGGTGCAATTCGTCAATCCCTAAAAGTCAGAAACAAAGAAGCACACAAATCAAAATCGAAGATTGCTTCTTAGTGAATTATAGAGTTTTGTTTGGACCCAATATATATATATATAAAGATAAAGAAAGAGATAGCTTCACGTAATGGTTCTATTATTTGTAATACATACGTTTCTAACACGCGAATTGACTGAAAACAAGAAACACATCATGGATGACAAATTTGCCTTTGTTTTTGGTGGAATTACTCTGTTTGGTTTTGATTTTTCAAAAACCTCTTCAATCCCTCTATTTTTTTTTTAATTGATTTTTTAAAAATATTATAATCATTTTTATTATTTTTTTTAAATCTACCTAATTTTGATATATTTAAAAATGGTAAATTATAAATATATTTTGAGATTTGATTAAAATACAAATCGCATCTTATGATTTAAAAAATTACATTTCACCCTCTGAAATTTCTAATTTTATAAGAAATCGCCCATTTAATTAATAAATCATCAAGTCAATTAATAATTTTCAATGATATTAAAAAAATATTTCAATTAATAATTTAAGTAATTTTATTATTGTATAAAAGGGTAATTATGAATTTTATTTTTTAATTAATTATGTTAAATAAAAAATTCTAAAAAAGAGTAATCTGAATTTTATTTTTTTAATTAATTATGAATTACATGAACAATTTATATTTTAAACAAATCTCAATGAGTGTATTTATAATTTATCTATTTAAAAATATAAAATAAAAAAATTAATAAAAATTAAAAATTCATAAAACTATGTTTAACTTCCACGTCGTGAGTCAGACAATAAATTTATGATTTTTTTTTTTTTTAATTTTTAAATTTTACCGTTAGAGGGACAATCAACCAATCAATGAGATACCGTTATCATTACGGAGGGAAAGACAAACATACCACTGCCTAGAATGACCTAATCCCTGTTTGGTTAGTTTTTTTTTTTTTTTTTTCCTGGTGGGGATTAAAAAAAGGATTCAGCTTCTCTCCGGTCCAAATCTGGACTGGACGGTGCTGTCCGGCCCTTGGGGGCCCATTACGGGTTGTGTTTCGATAATCTAAACCGTCAATGTGTAGAACTCGTCGAGTACTATATGCCTGTAAAAAATCACGTTGATCGGATATCAATAGCTATATGATCAAATCAGTTTTTTGTAAGCCGTTTATTTTTCGCCGTCTATTTTTTTCATAAAAAACTGATTTGATCATATAGCTATCAATATCCGATCAACATGATTTTTTACAGGCATATAGTACTCGACGAGTTCTACATATTGAACGGTTTAGATTATCGAAACACGACCCGTAGTGAGCTCCCAAGGGCCGGACAGCACCGTCCAGTCCAGATTTGGACTGGAGAGAAGCTGTGGCCTTAAAAAAATATCCTAAGATTTGAGTCTTGAAATAAAATTAACCCTAAATTTTTTATTTTGTCAATTTAAATCTTAATATTTTAATTTATTTTAAATTTAAATTATTTGTCTATTTTTGTTAAATAAAACTAACAAAAAAATATTTTAATCATTAAACTCAATAAAAATTTATATTTTATACATCTACATTGAGTATAATGACTAAGATATCATATTTTCTATTAATTTTACTTAATAGAAAGAGACAAATAATTTAGATAAAAAATAAATCAAAAAATTTGGATTTAAATTAATAAAATTAAAAATTCAGAGTTGTAATTTTCTCTTATTTGTTTTTTCTATAAAACTTACAAAAATTATTAGATTTTAGTTTTATTTTTTGGTTAAAATATTTAAAATATACTAAAAACTCACAAAAAAAAATTTATATATGTAAAATAAGAGTCTCCTTACCTATACTGCATTCTTTATTACCTACTTGCAATAAGAGTAAGACCCACAATCTACTATTAAGATTCGTTTGAGAATTAAAAAATTTTAGTGTCTTTTTAATTTTTACAAAAATACATGTAAAAACTAGAAATAATGAATTGAATTTTTAATTTTTTTATTAAAATATTTGATTCTCAAACCTAGCTTTATTATGAGTAAGATGTAACCCCACTTTTGAGAACATAGATGTAAACCTCATTTTGGACATCTCCAACTGTTCATTTTTTTTCTATTAAATTTGAGTAAAAATTTCATTTGATAACAAGTGTTTTAACAGAAGATTTTGAAATTTCATTGAAACACTGGTCAACCAGGCGGAGGATGTTCGGCTAGTTGATCGGCTAGTATATTTTTTTCAAAATTTTTTACCTTGAGGTGGTTATTTAGTGGTGAAAATTCAACGGTTATGAACAGTGATTTAATAAAAACTCTAGACGTCCTCAATTTGGTGAAAGATTTTTGATATTCTCGATTTGATATTAATTTAATGAAACTATTGGAGTAAGAAAAATGTTATTTTTTCGTCAAATTTAAATTTGATGACAAAATTAATGAGTCATTGGAGATAGTCCTAAGCTGTTGCAAATGATAACTATGTCTCTAATATTATCCTAAAAATTAATTTTAAAAACCTACAAATAATGCTACACGTTTTTAAAAATTTATTATTTACACGTGTTCATCTTAAATTATTAACATTTGCAGTGCATCAATCACATGCACATACGTAAATATGTATTATATAGGAATGGGTTTAGTTGCTAGAAATGTTGGTTAAGAATATTTAAATTGATTGTATATTGCATATTGTATATATTCTTATGCATTATATGTAAATATTTTAAATTAACAAAACTTTAAAATGAAAGGCAAATAAAATTTTAAAGATAAATTGTTTAATTTTTTAAAAACAAACCTGATTAATTATGTACTTATAATTATCTAATTTTGTTTATTTATTTATGAATGTATGAATCTAAAAAATTTAAAATTTTAATTATTACAACAGCGCATCTAGTCCACCAGCCCAGACTAGACCATGGGACTGGTCAATTATATTCTAATTAAGATTATTTTTAGAAGTAGGTTAAAAATATATTTTTTTTTAAATATATAAATTTTTTTTTTTAAAAAATGATGTAATTTAAAAAAAATAAATAAGTAAACAAAAATAAAAAAGACAAGTTGCCAATATGGGTCTCAGTCTCATTGCTGGCTCATTAATCAGTTTGTCGTTACATAATTATATTTAGGCATTAATGAACGTTAGTGTCACCATAGTTTTTTTTTTTTTTAAAAAAAAAAAATTAATGCTATATGCATCCATTAGTGCATTAATTAATGTATTAATTAATGATGTGATATAATTTAATATATTTGTTTTATATGAATAATGCTATATGTGTCAATTGATATACTAACTAGTGTACCAATTGATGATATGACATAATTTAAGAGATTTTTAGAATTTGTAATATGATTAATGAGTAGGGTCAATAATAATGTCATAACTAGTATTGGTACACTAGTTAGTATATTAATTGGTACATATAGTACCACCATTTTTATATTTGTAATTTGTATAATGAGTAAGGTAAATAATAATATCATAACTAGTATTAATAAATTAGTTAGTATACTAATTAATGCATGTAGCTTTATTTACAAAAAATTGAAATATAATCCAATAATTACATTATTAATTATGTAATAAACATGTGGTTAAGGTAATGACAACTGGAATGATGATGATGACGTGTGGTGTGGAATCTGATTGATTGGCAGAGCTAGAGGTTCTTTCAAATTATGAGCAAATTATACTTTGTCCCCCTTTATTTTTGATAATTTTTTTACTTTGACTTTTAAAGTTTAATTTTTTTTTTCATTTTGGTGCTTATTCAAATTTTTTATTTTACTCATAAAGTCAATTTCTCTTAAAATTAGATAAAAAATAACACATTAATAATTATATGGTATAAAAATATTTTATTATATATAACTTACACTTCTAACATAAACTTAAATTTTAATATAATAATATATATATTTTTATATTATGTAATAATTATTGTGACATGTTCTATCTAATTTTGAATATAAGTTAACTTTAGGAGGAAAGTAAGAAAAAATTGAAATATAAAAGGTTCAAGTAAAAAAAAAATAAAATTTAAAGACCAAAATTAAAAAAAAAAAATACCAGGGCTTAGTTTGGGAAGTGGGCTGGCTTTTTGGCTTTTTGACTTTTTAACTATTTTAGCCTGGGCTAAAAAACTTGGTTTGAGAAGGGTTTTTTTGCTTTTTAGCTTTTTTGGCTTTTTTGTAAGAGAATAGTGCAATGATTATGGATTGAATGTGATATTTTGTTTTTTTGACTAAAATAATCTATTTTATCTTTTGTGACTAAAATAGCCACTTTAGCCCTTCCCAAACAATGCCTTGGGTAAAATGGTCAAATTATTGTGAACTTTTTGTGTCTCTATCTAATTAATTTGGTCTAATAATTGTGATTCATCACATGATCAATTAAAAAAAAATATTGTTTTAATTTTTATAGCAGAGCTAAAACAGCAAATGTATATGTATAGGCAGATGAAAGCGAGAAAATTTTATCACTTTGGACTTGTTTGGTATAATTTATTATAAATTAATAATTAATAATAAAAGTATAAGTTATAGTTACTCTACAATTTTCAAATAATTATATTTTTTCAATTTATTTAAACTATTTGCACCAATTAAGTTGTAAACCGAAACTATACTAAGGCTAAGTTTGACATAATCTATATAATAAATCTTTTTATCATTTTATCTTTTTTTTATCACATAATATTTTTATTTTTCTACACATCTTTTTATAAAAAGACAAAAAATACATTTTTTTAAGATATCCCAAACTAACCCTAAATGAGTTTGGGTTTGTTAAAGTTAAAGATTTTAAATAGTAAAGTTAATCCATTATCGAGAGCAACAGAGCTAACAAGGGACCACATTTCCCTCCACTTTTCAATCATTTTCTTTTCAGTCTCTCACTTATGTCAACATTTTTTTGCATTGTTTATGATAGGAAATTTTTGAGTACTTTAAAAGCGTGATATATATTGTTTATATAGTAGTCTAAATTAATATTGTAGCGTGAAATTTATGGATGGGACATAATAAAATCTCATTATTATTAGGCAGTTAGGTGTTAATGAGCAAGTGCAAGTTACAATTTCT